ATCTGTAATTATAACAAGAGATTAGCCATATAAAAGTGTGTTTGCATTGTTCAACTTTGCGTTCAACATTTGCGTTCAACATTTGCGTTCAACTCAGCGCAGGGTTGCACGAAAAAAAAGTTGAATGGCTAAAACTATCAAAATATGAAAAAATATCAAAATATTCGCCATAAAAAGGTGTTTGCATTGTTCAACTTTGCATTCGACTTTTGGTTGAATGGCCTTTCAACTAATCGCTTTCAACAAAGTTGGTCGCCAGCCAACATTTAGCCATTCAACTTTTTTTTTCGTGCAACCCTGCGTTGAGTTGAACGCAATTGTTGAACGCAAAGTTGAATAATGCAAACACTGCTTAAAACTCGTCCCTTGTTAATCTGTAATTATAAAATAATCTCAGATTTGACCGATAACTTTTCGGTGTCCATCCTAGTTTTATCGATTGTTTTTGCGAATAAGAGGAGAAATGCCAAATGTAAAAGTAAACAAAAATGGACGCTAGCAAGGAAAAGAGGTTTGTAAAGGTATTTTTAATAAAATGTTAAGTTAAAATATATTTATATTGCTTATTATAGCAGAAAAACGTGATCACGTCGGCACAGAGAAGAAACATAACTTTTCCTTGGGATGTGAGAATAACAAGCACAACAAATTTGACGGCTAATAATCTGAGATTTGCCTGTGTAAGCGGGGTGATTAAAAAACAAGCTTTGATTGGGATAATATTGATATGTGAACATAGTTTTAGATAAACATCGACTTCACATCACTGCGGTTGTTCTGGCTATTTCACACAATTAACAAGAAAATGATACCTTATTCTTTTGCAAAATCATGCAATGAAAATCAAAATTACATAAATGGATGATCAAACTTGACATGGTTTAATAAAAATGTGTATTAAACGTTCTCTGGATTTTACATGGATGAAAACACTAGTTTTAGGTCGAAAACCAGTTTTAGCACAGAAAACATGTTTTGATGTCGGTCAGAACATGGTATAAAGCAGCCGTTTCCAAACAAAGTTTGTCTGCGTAACACCAACCCAAGAAGTTTAATTTCAAAAAAATATCCAAAGACGCCAGATATTTCATTGTTTTTGTTATTTAAAATTAATTTGAGACATGTGAATTAATCTTAGTAAGACTTCGGTACCCACGGGCCCCACGGGACTTAAAAATTTAATTTCGAGATGGGCGGGATCAGGATTGATTTAGTCCCGTGCCCATCTCTGCTTCCAGGTAAACTACAAAGCTTAGGGGGATGGAGCCGCCCGCTGCCCCTAGGTAGCGACATCTAGCTGGCTAGGTTTTATTGAGCTCAGAGTTTGCTGCAACAATTGCACGCAGTTTCAAAACAAAATTTCTTCATAACACCGACCTTCATAGCTAACAGAATTATTCAGCCTCGTTGCGGTAGTCGTGTCGAATGCAAGTCATTTTTCGAGAGTCGAATCATAAAGAAAATTTCATGTCATTGCCTAAAATTTCGACTCCACTAGTGTATTAAAACGGTAAAACTTGGCAGCACTACACAGTTTTCGACGATTTGTGTCGTTTACTTATTTCAACACGACAGTAGACAATGGCAATGTTGTCGAGTCATAGAGTAGGTTCGTTCGCGTAGCTGTTAATTGTTCATGTTTAACCAAAACTTACAAGTTTTTGCGTTCGCGTACGCAAACAACTTCCAAAGTAGGGGAAATTGAGTGAGGGGAAGCTGCTGGTTTCTGCTGGAAAAATTTTTGCCAACAGCAATTTGCCAACAGGAAAACAGCTGGTTGGCATTTACGCAAATCACAAAATTGAATTTGATGGTTTGGAAGTTAAAAATTACAAAATGCGACTAATTAAACTTGTAAGAAATAAGTAGTTATTTGTTTAATCAATAAACTGTGTCAGTATAACACTTTGTGATGGCTTTTCGTACGTTTTAAATTTTACACTTTTGAATGTAAACAGAAATTATATCAGCTGTTCATCTAATTTGCAAGTTTCTGCAAATTTTCTGTTCGCGTACTATTCCGGATATTTTTCTCTTGTGAGAGAACAGATGACATTTCGCCGGAATTTGGCAGTTGGTTGGTTTTTACTGGAGATTTTAAACGAACGCACCTATTTTAGCCTAATTCTCGACTTATGCGGCGTTTTTGCTGCATTTAAAATGCAACATTTAGCACTTTCGAACATATTTTTTCGAAGAGCGTTCATGCTATCGCATTTAGCAAATGTACATTTACGCGAGTTCGAGATCGTATGCTTTTGACAAGCAGCCGTGTTCCTGTCGCTTATTCAGATCCGTATCTATTACGATCAATTCTCACGCAGAAGATAATGTGCAAAAACCCTACTGAAAAGGAAAAAATAAATTTTAAACCAAAACTTCAATACAAAAATTTGAATTGTTTTAACCATGGCCGACCATTTGTTTATGTATATATTCATTTGTTGGTGCTGTCAATTAAAACTTCCTCACTTAATTAGGAAACAAAACAAACAGAATTGATCACAAATTGATCCAGATTTCTATCAGCATCACATCGATATTGAATTTTCTTAACTTTTCTTTATCCTAATAATGTAAAATAATAGCTCTGATCCAGTACTCCATGAACTTACAGGATTTTACACGAACTTGCAGGAAGTTGCAGGAAAAATGTTCCCGTACTCGAAAATCCTACAAAATCCTGTAAATTAGAGCCACTTTTGGAGGGTTGTGTAGAGAATAAAGTTGCAAGATTATACCCGAACTTTTTCTTCTGGTAAAATCATGAAAAGTGTCAAGCAATCACTGGTTGACGTTTTTACAGGAAAAATGTTTTTTTTTGTTCCCGTACTTTTTATTGTTACTTACTTTTTACTCTCACTTCAGAGAGTAATTTTGCTGTTTGACAGTTTTACAGGATTTTTCACGAAAAGTATTGGATCCGAGCTAATCGATCGGCGATCACTGAAACGCAGCTAGCCACTGTATACTCGAAAATGCAATGTAGCCACTTTTTCTCATTAAACCATGTTCGAATCGTGGACATTTTGGAAGATCACAGGGTTGCTTTTAGTATTTAGATACTTAATGCAAAAATGGAGTTGCATTTAGTTGCATTTAGGTGACGAATTTTGTATGGATAAATGTACATTTAGAGCTAAATGTGCTTTTACGCGTAAGCAAAAACAGCGCATTACGCAATGGGGCTGATTAACAGTATAGAAGTCGGGTGTTTTATTATTCCTTTCATGAGCATGAAATGGTATTATAACTTTGGTCCAATGTTTGTAAGTTCCAGAATAAGAAGAGATAGACCCATAAATTAAATGATCAGAACGTCGAGCTGAGTCGATTTAGCCATGTTCGTCTGTCTGTCCGTCTGTTTGTATGCAATCTAGTCTCTCAGTTTTCGAGATATCCGGATGAAATTTGGTTGGTGGGTGTATTTTTAAAATGTATTAATCATGTCGGAACCGGAAGAATCGGACCACTATAACATATAGCCCCCATACAACTGATTGTTCAGATATGAGATTTTTCGTTATAACTTCTCCATTTATGCAGCTGAGAACATGAAATTTTGCAATACTTCCACGCATTATCAACAAAGAACTTAGAATGAAAATTACAAAGATCGGGTCATTATAATCTATAGCTCCCGTACTACTGATTGTTCAGATATAAGATTTTTCGTTATAACTCCTCCATTTAAGTAGCTAGTAACATGAAATTTTGAAATGTTGTCACTCATTATCAAAAGAATACTTTCAGAAGATCGGGTCGCTATAACCTATAGCCTCCATACGACTGATTGTTCAGATATGAGATTTTTTTGCCATAACTTCTCCATTTATGCAGCTAGGAACATGAAAATTCTCACCGTTTTCACTCATTGTTAATAGAATCATTACAGTGAAAATAACAAAGATCGGGTAACTATAACATATATCTTCCATTCCACTGATTGTTCAGTTATGAGAATTTTCGTTATGACTCCTCGATTTATGCAGCTAGGAACATGAAATTTCGCAATACTTCCACCCATTATCAACAGAGAACTTAGAGTGAAAATAACAAAGATCGGGTGACTTTTACATATAGCTACCATACCACTGATTGCTCAGATATGAGATTCTTTGTTATAACTTCTAAATATATGCAGCTAGAAAGATGATATTTCGCACTATTTTCACTCATTATCAACAGATAGTTTACAGTAAATTTAACAAAGATCGGGTCACTGTAACTTATATATTGCCTCCATATAACTGATTGTTCAGATATTGGGTTTTAATGTAAAACTAATTTATTTGGACAGCTAAAACCGATAAATTTTGTAAGCTATTGGTTAAATAATAATATAGTCTACTGAGAAAATTGTCAAAATTTATGCTGTATGTATAAGCCTTATTTCGTATACCATTGATTGTTCCTATACCAGTTTTTGCGATATATCTCCTTTATGTAGGAAGCTAAACCCATTAAATTGTGTTACCGGTTTACAAACCGATCACACAGCAGTGAAAATCACTTTGATTGGTGCTATATAAGGTATATCTTCCATACCTCTGATTGTTTAGGTAAGATTTTGTATATATGTAACTCCTCTATCTATGTGTGCTGTGAATATATAATTTTTTTCAAATGCAGTAATCTGTTAAATTAAAGTTTTCAGATGTTCATGAAAGGTATGAAGCCTTCGGCATAGCCGAAGACAGCGCTGCTCTTACTTGTTTTTTGCTTAAAAATTATTCGGTCATGTATGAACTCTCCACAGTTGAGAAAAAAGCAGCCCATTGCGTAAATCGTAAATTCGTTTAAATTGTACGACTCGACAACATTGGCATTGTCTACTGTCGTGCTGAAATAAGTAAACGACGAAAATCTTCGAAAACTATACAGTGCTGTCAAGTTTTTCCGTTTTACTACACTATTCGAGTGGAAATTCTAGACAATGACGTGAATTTTTGATACCTTTCGGCTCGAAAAACGACTTGCATTCGATACGATTCTCGCAATGAGGGTGATTAATTTTTTATTTATTTAGTGTTTCTTAAGTTTTTATTTTTGTTTAAAGAGTATTATAAAAATAATTTAGAAAATCTTCACAACAAATTATCTTGTAATTGGCATTGTAGCGATTTTAATGAGCTGCGCAGGTGCTCAGTATCGGGCTTTTGATAACAGAAACTTAAACAAGTCGATACGATGTCCTGTGCCTTTCCAAGAATGCGCCTTTTGGATCTATGCCATATGGAACGCAAGTTCCCACATAGTAAAGTTACTACACGTATAGATGATTGCACAAGATGCCACTCATTGCCTTCATTTGCCCAAACACGTTCATTCATTGAAATCATTCTGAAATAATACTCCATTAGAAGTTCAATATCTATATTCATTGCAACTAGCTTCTCGGGCACAATTCCTTCGGGAAATTGAAGTTGGCAAGCTTTCAATTCGAGCTCACGTATAATAAATGCCAATGGGAAGCAATGGCCTGACTCACGAAACTCTTTTACCAACGATTCTATTTTGGTGAACAAGCGCGTGCATCGCTCTTGTGTTGTCCCCTTACCCACCACAGCCTTATTTATGATTTGACTCCAAACTGTTTCGATTAACAACGGATCGTTGTGATGTGAACAATTCAGAATAGTTAGTTTACACTCCCACAAATCAAAGGGATCGGCGAATTGCTGATAGAGTTGAGTTATATCATACAACGTGAAATTAAGCTTTTCTATCGCTTGCAATACTCTGTGATCCGGTGCTATATATGCCGAAAAAGTATCCAGTATGCACTTTTGTACACGTGCGATTTCCAGCTTATCCTCTAGCTCTTTTAGCAAGACACCATTGGCAATGGAAAAGCCCGAACTATCATTGCGCAAACACATAACGGCTCTAGCTAGATATTCAATGCGTTGGTCAAGAAGAATGCATTCGCTTTCAGTGCTGGCTAAGTTGTCCAAGATATGCGCGGCTTCGGCATGTCGGCCATTTTTCTCATAGTATTTCCACAATAAGTCGACTAAATTTAAATTTCCTGGATTGTTTACCACATTTCGACGTAGAAATTCTCCCAAACTTGGTTCGGGTAATGCCAGCAACTCCGATATCATATCATGTGCCATCAACCACTGATACAATGTGATATGCAGGAGTGGATCTTTAATTTGGATGGCCAAATTTACAAGCTTGCGTATTTGAACACTAAATCTTTTTTCGCTGGTATCACAAATTTGTCGTTGAAACTCAAATTCCTGCGTTTCATTGGCGTTACAATAATTCTGATATATCGTATCCAACATCAAGCGGACCTCCTTGTAACATGTCATACGTGCAGAATAAGCGGCATAACCTTCAGTGTCTTCGGTAGGCTCATCGCAATTGTAGTAACGTATACCATTTTCTTCGGGATCGATTTTAGCTGCACAAGTTGCAGTTAATTCTATGACCCCTTCGCCAAAACCGGCAATAGAAAATTGTTGGCAAATGTTTTGTAGGGGCAAATTCGGTGCGGCATCTTTGCAGAGCTGCAGAGCTGTGCAAAGCTTCTCATTCTTCCCTTCAGAAGCCTCACAACTTTTGGCTGAAAGCAATATTTCCGTAGCTTTAAAAGTAACCGCATCTTCGTGGCGATATAGGTTCGGACAAACTTCCCTCAGTTTCGCCGAAATAATACTAACACTTGCGTTATCTTTCAGATATGAATTAATTAGAGTAGCTATTAATAAAGCACAGGAATCAGTGCGTGTGAGTGTGAGGTCTCGAAATGTACATGAGCTCAATGTGGTTTGCTCCTCTTTTGTTAATTGAGTTGCCAACACTTGAAACTGATGCTCCGACAGGATTTTCCAAAGGGATAAGATCTCGCAAACATGTTTAATCAATTGATATAAAGCGCTTAAAGATTGTTTTTCTTCCGATTGTGCTTGCTCAGTAACATTTCGTTGTTCGTGCGTAGATAGCTGGGTGTGAGCCGGGAGCACATGACTAAATCCATTTGATACGCTTGTTTGAGTAGAGTACGTATTTCGTGATAATCCGGAACAGTCATTTACGATGTATGCATCCATGAAAGCCCTCAGCGAAAATAAGTCTTCAAGTATCAATGTACAATCGGACTGGGTAACCGTGCTGCATAAATTTGTGTCAACACAACGTTTTTTCCAAATTGGACGCAGTAGTCGGGCAACGTACAAGTACAATCCATCATGTTTGGCTGAATATATGACTGTAGAGTAGTCGTTAACAATTAAACCACCATCGTATCCTGTATCTTGGCCTGGTATTGGACTCAACGGGTACTGTGTCTGTTGCATTGTATGTGATGACTGTGGCGAACGCGGCATTTGAAAACCGCCACCAGCAGTATGGGGCATTGGTGTAGACACAAACATTTGCGGTGTGTTGCGGTCAACACCATAGTGTCCCATATGTAAAGCTGGGTTCATGGGGTTAATCTTAGAAGTTCCTCCCTGAGCATTCGCAAGCATTTGATAGTGATAATAAGGCTCTCCTCCGTATAGGAGTAGCGCTTGTGCGGCCCATATTGCCAGATCCGTATTGCGAAATTGGTCTGCACATGCGATAAGTAACGAAGTAGTACAAGCCTCGCTCTCCGTTTGAATTTGAAAGAATGCTTTGACAGCTTCATTATGAGGGCCACTGTAGGCTGTAAGCAGCTGCTGCAGTATATCCACTGGTTTTAACAATGCAATAATATGAGCGCCTTGATTCGTGAGTAACACTACTTTTTTAGCTTTCTTGGCCTTACGCAAAATCGAGTTCAATTTAGATTCACATTTGTCTCGTACTTCAGCTAAACTCCAAACGATTCCATCTAAGCTAAGTACCGCTGTTGCTTCTGCTAAGTACGGACGACTTAGAAATGGTGCTGAACTTATTGACCATAAATGATCTTGATCTTGTTGCGATGTAGAAATTAATAGCAATGTTCCTTCACTATAGTATGCAGAGTGGACCTGTTTTGGCTTATTAACGGTTGTGTTAGGTGTGTAGCCTGGAGGAAGACGAACGTGATATAAATATAGTCCCTGGGGTTTGCTAAGGTCTTGAGCTGATTGTGCCGAAACTAAGCCTGAGGTATTGGTAGAGGGGAAGTTGGTAGACGTCTGTTTCTGTAGCGTTTGGGACAACTGTATTTGTTGTTGTTGAAGATGCTGCTGGCTAGGATTCTGTGCTGAACTCAGTGGTCTAGTAGCAAAAAATAATCGAACACCACTTTGTGTAATAGCAAGTAGATTTAAGTTTAAACTGTCATCAATAGATAACGGACATATCGATTTGATTTTTGAAAATATGGAGTTGTCAACGGTTTTCAATATACTGCTCGCACGTTGCATAACTTCGTTCTGAGAAACTCGTGCAAACCGTCGAGTACTGCTGCAATCCGTGCCAATATTCCATGCATCTATGGAACCTTTCTCCGTTAGCGTATATAAAAGTTGTCTGTGGTCATCGATAACGATACTAACTATTGGATCGTTTTCAGTGAAAAGTTTTAGGAAGTTAGGAACCATGGCGGATACAACACTTTGAGAGTGATTTACTTTTTTGCAACGCTTTCCGAACCAACTAGAATCTGCATGATAATCGATTTCATAAAGACAACCGTCTCGTCCACCTAGGAAAATTCGACCATTTTGGCTGCACTGCACAACATTAATAGCAACATTATCAGAATTCAATATGAAAATCGGCTTATTCATTAATTGCATTTCCTCGAAAGTGGTTGTGCTTTGCATATTTCTCATTGGCGATGAAATAATTTTGGTGGTATCAGCAAACGTTACCCCCAAAACAATAATTTCAATTGGCGTCGTCAAAATTAGCAAATATTTTACGTCGCTTATGAATACGCCAGGTTTTGGCTTGGCCAAACCCACGCTAACAATTAAATGATTTAGTCCGTCGTAATATGCAACATCGCGTGCTTGTTCGTAGGTCCAAATATAAATTTCAGAGTCGATAGTTAACCATGCTCTACCAATTTCGGGGAACAAACCCATCATGCAATGGCATTTTATGTGCTTGAAATGTTCTAAAATTTCAGCTGGTATCGGAATTTTGTTGACAGTGTGCACTTGCATCGCAGATTTAGGACCCATTGATAAACTGGAAAGATTTTGGTAATCATAATCATTCAATCCACTAGCTGTCGCGAAACCATGCTGAGCCACTCCAGTGAGGTTTATTTTCACGTCGAGCAGCCCCGGCGATGAACTGTCCCTTATGTCCATTCGCTCCAGTATGTTACCAGCTACATCCAAGAAATCGGTGGGACTGATTGACGGCATTTTAGCTTAAACTGATTTCAACTACAATTATAATAGGTTAAATTTAAAAATATCTCAAACTTTACCGATTGTAAATTCAGGAAACCAATGTCTTAATGATTAGGATGTGTGCGGTCCTCCGTGTGCCGTCAAACTAAGTTACTAAAAGTATGTTGTGCAAGTAACTGATGCGACTATATGATTCCCTGCTTTAAATGTAAATATCTCGTTTTTTCACTAAATCAATTGCGGTTAATTTGTTAAAAGAAAGCCACTTTTTTGCATTTTAAACTGTCCATATATACAAACTCGTTTTACCGCGAATGGAACCATCAACTTCTACGCCGGCCACAGATCCAATAAACGAGACCAAATCAAGGTTGCCAGAATTTTTTAATGTAGGGATCTTCACACCAACTTCGATAGTTTCGGTAAAAGGCACAACACACGCATTGATTTATCGGCCAACCAGTTGGCCAACCGCTAGAAGCTGGTTGTAAATAAGGAAAAGAACATAGTGATGCGACATTTTCGGATAGTAGCGAAAAAAGACAAGAAAGGTCAAAACATAGTGAAGCAACCGTCCGCTCAGAAAGCAACGAAAACAATTTTTTCTTGTTTTCGTCGCTATGCTCTTTGTTGTTGTTGTAGCAGCATACAAGTTCCCCAAAGGATTTTTGGGGAGTTTTGCTGGAGTGACAGTCCTTGGCCAGATATAAATCTGGGTCGTTCCGGTTACGTAGACCCGACTGTCGTGGGGTCGCTTCTTTGCTTTTCACTTAACTATTCGCTGCCACATTGAAAAATAAAGGTTTCTTTTTGTCGCTCTTATACGTAAATGTATTGTCGCTCTCTTTGTCGCGTCACTTTGCCTTAGGGTCAAAACATAGTGGAGTGGCGAGCAAAGCGAAGAGCTAGCATCGAGCAAAGCTTCAATTACAAACGTGTATGTACGCCAGGGTAGTCAACTCATTTTTGAGAGATCCCCGATTTCGACAATGAAATTCCCCGATTTTCCCAGAAATTTCGTAAAATTCCCCACCCATAGATATCTTCTTAATCACAAAAGAAAAAAAGTATGTATTTACTACTACTTTTACTGGTCTTTCCTTTTTATTTTTAAACGAATAAATCTATGTTTTAATAAACCAAACCAAAATTTTATAAAGGTAGTTAACAAATAAAGAATAAAAAATATCCATGTACATAGATAATATTTACACACATACAGTTATCGAAAAAATTTACTTACACCAATTATTATTTTTTTTGTTATTTAATTTTAGTTATTTTTTTATAAAAATATAGTTTATTCTTTAACAAAAACCATACAAATCCAAGTTCCAGACGTTGTGCAATATTTGAGAAAAATTCAACTTTCGTAAAAATTTCGAACTGTTTAATTGGATTTTCTATAAATATTTAGAGTATGCAGTTTTGTAGCCATCTCAATTCTAGAATAATAAAGTGCAAGTTTCAAATAGCGTTGTTTTATTCCATATAAAAATAAATTATGCTCATTCGCTATAAGAAAGCAAATGCAAAGAAAATTCTAAAAAATCATCGGTAATTTTTAGCCATTTGAAACTTTGTTATACTAGAGTTGATCGAGCTGAAATTCCCCCAAAAAAACGGTCCATTCCCCGATTCCCCACGCTAACTGTACTTATATGTATATATATATATATATATATATATATATATTTATTTATATTCTTATTTGTGTCCACATTTCTTTCAAGTTACATGTTCACGACCGTTCATTTGATAAAGATATACATATGTACTTATATCAATTCTACAATACGTACATTGTAAACCGCAGCTAAAGTAATTCTAAAGTTCAATGGCGCGTATTCATAGTCCAGCAACTATGTCGAAACTAACAAAGTTGCAACTTAAATTTAAGTACAAACTTAAAATTTACCTCTATTCATAGTCGCATTTCAGACTTCTACTAAGTAGTTTCGACTTAGTTTACGATATAACTAAATGAGTGTGAAAATGTATCGATTTTTCTTTACGATATTTTGAAAAAATTACATTTTTATTAAATAATGTCAAGTTTAATCATCGGTTTATGTAATTTTTATTTTCATTCCATGATTATGCGAAAGAATAAGGTATCATTTTATGTTTATCGAAAGCATGGTGTGAAACATACAAATAGTAGATATCTAAATGTTATGCACAAATTTACTTTAAAAGAACTAGCGTGAAACTGACTTATTATTTGAGAATTTATTTAAATTATTCCAATTATAAATTGGTGATTTAGCTTTATTCGAATTGTAATACGCATTTAATTTCTTCTTCCGAATAAAATGGATCGATCTTTGTAAATTTTAATTGGAGATTATTCAATATTATGAAAATCACCCTCTACCTAATTTTTACATATTTCGTCTGTTTTCCCATAATTTGATGAAATACTTCTTCCTAGTAACGTCTTAGTTGCAGCTGCAGCCGAAACTAATGGGGTGTTCACAGTTCGTTCCAAATAGTGTCTCAAAATGTAGACGTCTACATTTTAAGACGTTTTCTAACCGTAAAATCTGTGGTGTTGTTGTTTCCCATACAAAATTGGAAAACGACGCCGTCTACATTTTGTCACACTCAAAGGTATGTTTTTTACGCGTCTACATTTTGCAACCTCGCAGCAGGGTTGCATTATGGCAATACTAATCACATTTTTTTTATTTATTGGGCACGTTTTCTGTATTTGCATTTAATTTGAGCGCAATTTCTGATGAAAAGAAACAAATCAAGGAAAAGAAATAACAAATATTACGAATTGGTAATTAAGTTAAATAATTTCAATTTTTCAGAAACAAAATCGAAAGGCGACATAAAAAATGCACGCAAGGAAGAAATGTCTGGCAACACCAGCAAAGTTTTGAGACGATTTTGCGACGACTGCGAGAAAGGGGTGCTCACAGTTTAATGCTAAAGATGTCTCAAAATGTAGACGTCTACATTTTCAGACACAATTTGGAACGAACTGTGAACACCCCATAAATTTTAAGTTGGTACTTAGTCAGAAAAGTCGAAACTAACTGCCGTCCCTAAATTGGAGCGCTAAGCGTTGCGTTATCCATTGTCAAACAGTGTCATCGCGCGCTATACCCAAATCAACGCGTCGTAATTTTTGACGTTTTCTCAGGTCCTCTCGTTTTTATTCTTATTTCCTCTTTCACTTTTTTGTCCTTTCTCTTTCTCTTCGTCTTCTGCATCCAACTTCAGCACGTAACGCCCTGTCAAAAATGAAAATTCCATTTGCTCGGCGTTAGCGCCGCGTTATTGTGGGATGGTTCATACAAATTGTATGGACCTGAGGATTTTTGACAGTTGCTTGGCGTTTGACGCGCCAATTTAGGGATGGCAGTAAGGCGACTATGAATAGCTTTAGTTGTGACTTAGAATAGTTTCGACTTAGTTGAGTACTAAATATGACTATGAATATGCGCCAATATCTCGTAGTATGCTTAAGGAAACTTATTTGCAGTGTTAACATTCATTTATGTTACTTAAGCTATGCCGGATTCTACATTTTGGCGATCATATACGTACTGCCAAATATTTGTTAGCCTAGTTTTCGAAGAGTAATATTGTCAATTAATAAGCACCCTGTTTGGCGTTGTCGTACGATTTCTGCTAGTCTGTCTTCACACGTTATTCGCACACCTACAACATCACACACTGGAAGTTGTCTGACAGCATTCTTGTGAGAGGACCAGCACTTGCAGTTTGTCTTTTGACAGCATCAAGCTGAAATCAATACATTTTTGTAATTCGCTATTATATCAAATAAAGTTGGATTAAGTTAAGTTGGCACATTAATTGTATAAATCTGACGGATTTATTAATAGCGACGGGGATGGGATTATCCCCATCACATTAAAATTTTGTTTCAACAACGCGCGACTTTGGCAAGAGACACAAAAACTACGTGCAGATATTGAGAGCGGCTACAATCAGCCAGTGAAGGTGACCCTTTTGACCGCTACGCGACTTACTGAAGTTCGGGCAACCTTTTGACATTCAAAGTTAAGTACGTGTACTGGGAATGTGCACAATCATTCAATTCCTCGTTGCATCGAGTGTCAATGCCAATTAAGCTGGAAAAAGAAGCTGCTTTGGAACGAGATTTGTCAAGGGAGGACTCAGCATCTAGTTCAAGAGGAATTCCTGATTTACCATCGAACTCTGCAAGGACTTCAGTAGGAACATTAGAGCCTTTTGACATAAGCCATCCGGAGCATTGGTCCACATACTACTAGGTTCGAGTTGTTCCTTCAGGCCAAAGACATACGGACAGCTGAACGTCAAAGGGCGATTTTTTAACACTAGCCGGTGCCCCATTTATGACCTGGTGTCGTCATTGGCATCCCCCAAGAAGGTGAGTGACCTTCAAATTTCGGAAATTCAAGTAGTATTAACGAATCATTTTTCCCCTCGTTCATCGGAAATTGCATCATTTTAAAAATTCCACAAGCGCGATCAAATGCCAAATGAAACCTTTGCGGAATATATAGCCGCCCTGAGCGTCGATTGCAATTTTGGCGGTGCTTAAGATCGCATGCTGCGTAACCGTTTGGTGTGCGGTTTGCGCGATGAATCCCTTCAACGGAACCTCCTCGCGGAGTCTGATCTCCAATTGCAGAAGGTCATAGAACGGGCTACAACAGCGGAAGCCGCATCAAAGAACGTGCAAGTAATACGACAACCCGAACAAGTGAATCAAGTTGGAAAACGTAATCAGCCGAAATACAATAAAAAGTTTAAAAGCTCAAACAATATAGCTAGCGCATGCTCGATCTCAGTGCTCTCATAGGGAAACAATCTGTTCTGCATGTGGTGTCAAGGGCCATTTGCAACAGTCGATCAATCAGATTTTAAGCTCACGGAGTCGTAAGAAATCTACCACCATATACATCAACCAAAAACCATGTAAGGAAGTGGATTCAGGTTCAGATTATACTACAGTATCTTCTAAAACATTCGACCAATTAGGGCCGGGGGTTAAGCCGTTGCTATACGAGTGCGGTCCTGAGTTGAGGGATTTTCAACTTCATGGTGTACCTATCAGAGGTGGGTTAGATGTTGACATTGAGTATAACAAACGCCCAATCAAAGACTTACCACTTATCATTGTAAATGGTAACCAAAGCAACGTGCTGGGTTGTAATTGGTTTGATGCGCTGGGCATAAGCGTGCAGGGAGTGTTGGAAATTGAAGAATCGCCCACAATCAAACACATTTTAGGCAAATTTGAGCATCTTTTTTCAAAATAACTTGGCAAATTCAGAGAGGAACCAGTTTCAACAAAACAACAACAAAAAAACATCTAACCCATTAGGCTTCCCGCACGCCGTATTCCAATAGCTATTCGTAGTCTTGTTGAAATTAAACTCGATCGTTTGTGCGCTCAAGTTATTTTTGGCCCTGTCGAATACTCTGACTGGGCAACGCCCATCGTTTCAGTTCTCAAAAGCGATGGAACAATTAGAATTTGTGGTGACTATAAGTCTACCCTAAATAAGGCCATGTTGCCACACAATTTCCAAATTCCATCTATA